AGTCAGCTCCAGAATTGAACAGAGGGCTTCCGGTTAGGACCTTTGTGGCTCCCGGTGTTTTCGTTTCTGTGAGAAATGGATCCAAATGGCTCTTTGAGTGTTTAAGTTTGCCGACCCCTGCCTTAGAGGCAATTTCATTGTTACTCGAGGTGTTTTAAGATGGTTTAATTCGGCAACAGATAGCACAATTGAACCCCTATCAAATTCCACTAACGTATTTACTTAATATACTTCTCTGCTGCATTCCAGGAGTAAAACATCTTAGCAAGAGGCACATAGTTGGAATAAAAGAGAAAGTCAAGTGGATAGTAAGGCAAGGAAAGAACTTACGATAAATCAAAGCATTCAATATAAAACAAATGTGAAATCTGGACATTTAAAAGGTGAGAATGGAAGGAAAAACATTCACGAGCGTCATTCATACAACTGTGGTATCAAGACTTTATCTTAAAAGCCTCTCGAATAGCATTGAGTGGGGCCATTCCTGCAGTAGACGTTTGCCTGCAATTAATACAAATGACAACTTGTAAGATGCCAAGAAGCCTACAAGTCAGGAGCCCCTTAGAACAGCTTTCTATATTGGCTCATTCATAAGAAGAGATTAGACAGCCATTTGTTTGAAAAATGAACCTAAAGCAGGGGTTCCCAATACCCAGTTCGCAGAATGGTACTGGTCCGCAGCCTGTTAGGAACTAGGTTGAGGGAGCCGAGCTTCATCTGTACATGTGTGGGATCTAAATTGCATACATGAAAACATTCCCCCCGCTGATCCATGAAAGACAACTTTTCTTCCAAATTTGGACCCTGGAGCCAGAAAGGTTGGAGACTGCTGGCTTAAAAAACACCCCACTCCTTGGAAGTAGAGTATCTGTAATAATTGCAGTGTTACTCATTTTCCTAGCACCACAAAACTACTGGTTTGCAAAGAGTTGTTGTTGTTGTAGTTAGTTGCAAAGTCGTGTCTGACCCATTGCGATGCCATGGACAACATTCTTCCAGGCCTTCCTGTCCTCTACAACCTCTGGAGCCCATTTAAGCTCAGGCCGACTGCTTCAGTGACTCCATCCAGCCACCTCATTCTCTGTCGTCCGCTTCTTCTTTTGCCCTCAATCTTTCCCAGCATGAGGCTCTTCTCCAGGGAGTCCTTCCTTCTCATTAGGTGGCCAAAGGATTTGAGTTTCATCTTCAGGATCTGGCCTTCTAAAGAGCAGTCAGGGTTGATGTCCTCTAGGACCGACCGGTTGGATCGCCTTGCAGTCCAAGAAACTCGCAGGAGTCTCCTCCAGCACCATAGTCCAAAGGCCTCCATTCTTTGGTGCTCAGCCTTTCTTATGATCCAACCTTCACAGCCATACATTGCAGCTGGGAAAACCACAGCCTTGACTATACGCACTTT